TATCTCATTCCCCCAACCCAACAGTTTTATTAGGAAGAATTTTTCCTGGCATTTACTCCATTCCCGGCCTGTTCCATGAGTTATCCCCTAACTCCTATCCACTACTGCCCGTTCTGTTTCCATAGTCATTTGTCTTTAGTAACCATGTGAGGTAGGTCAGCCTTCTTCACAAGATTGTAACATGGTTATTTTGGTATTTGAATTCTGGTGCTTAGAAGCTGCTCCCATAGTGCAGCCTACTGAATTTTTCCTCAGCTGGAAAAGCAAGTGCCAGTTTCACCTAATCTTGTTGGTAAACATTCAGGCTTTTTTCTTCTTCTTTTTGGTGAAAAAGGAAGTCATATTTCCTTCTTTTCTGGAGGTCCACAGTTAGATTTCATGTTGCTTTTCCTTTTCTTTTTTTAGATATGCTCCTCTCTCAACAAACAAATGAACTTTGGAAGCTCAGTTTTTTTATTTTCCATTGTTAAGGAAAATAGAAAGCAGGTTTTCTACAAAGTGCAGTTGAGAAAGTGACACTGCTCACATATTCATCTATTAAGGAAGGAAAGAGGAAAGGAACGAATGCCTGTTACATTATTTTTTCATTTAATCCTCACAACCAAGCTGCTGCAGAATAGTTAATAATACTGACTTAGAAAAGAGCTGGCACTCAGAGGGTTTGAGAAGCTTGCTTAAGGACACACAGGTAAGAAGGGGCAAAGCCAAGATTGGAACTTGAATGTATGACTCAAGGGGAAAAGGCTTTTTTCCACAGCACCATGCTGCTCCCCACTAGCTGGCTAAGTGTAATGTCCTTGTAAAGTCTGTTGTGACTCCATTATTACAGTCAAGAGCAAAACAAAACAAAACAAAAAAATGGTTTTTTTTTTTTTTAGATGCAGACCTTATCAGAAAGAGGGAATGTGTTGGAATGGGACCTCTTGGGGTCTTTATCCTTATATTCCATGAAAAAAAAAAAAAAGCTTTTTAAATGTAATAAGAAAGTTTCTCACTTAAAATAATACAGTGAATTTTTATTCCTTTCTTATTTTTGTTTTCAATTTTGCCTCTGGCACAGCAAGCACTATTTAAGAAGATGTTGCTTGTGAAGTTGCTTGATCACTAGTTCATAATTTATGCAATGTGTATTTGAATATTCTGCTGTGTTGGTGTTTCCCAAACTAAAGTATTTGTATAGAATTTATGATCTTCATTATATCAGTGTTCTACCTGTACTATTCTTTATTATTTTTCTTTAAATCAATTCACAATTTTTCCTCATGTAGACTTATTTAAAGAAACTTCGATTTCTTTTAGATTCTATATTTTATTTTGTTATTATCTTAGCTACATACTACTGCTCATGAGGACTTCCATCTGAGAGACTTGGAAGCATTCTAGTAGTATAGAAGACACGCTCCCTAGACTAGAAGTGTGTCTGTCATCACCAGGACCAAAGAACAATGAAAGGCACATGCCTTTTCTCAAGGAGATTCCATAATAATTGATGCTGGATTTGTGTACCATCAAAAATTATCTCTCCTACTACTCATAGAATAGTGGAACTGTCTTTATTTACAGAATGAGCTCAAGAAACTATTCATCAAAGCAGAAAAGTTTTTAAAACACTGATGTCTGAGAAAATTGGTAATATCTGCTCTCTTTTGATCCATCAAATTCATTAACTTGGTTATGTTTTCAGGCTAACGAGAAAATGATGGACAACAGAAGCTACTCTAATCTGCCAGACAAAGTGCCTGTCTTCTCTGATTCTGCCCACTTGCCACTGACCAGGTCCTTCTATCTGGACCCCATGGTCACTTTCCACCTGTATCCTGAGGCCCCAGTGCCATCCCCTTACTCTGAAGATCTGCCATTGCTGCCTTTTTCTAGTGATTCCCTGATCATGGAAAATTATGGTGAACCCTGCCCCTTCTCCTTCCCAATGTCTTATCCAAATTACAGAAGGTGCGATTACTCCTATGGGCCTGCCTTTATCCGGAAAAGGAATGAGCGGGAAAGGCAGCGGGTGAAATGTGTCAATGAAGGCTATGCCCAGCTCCGACATCATCTGCCAGAGGAATATTTGGAGAAACGACTCAGCAAAGTGGAAACCCTCAGAGCTGCAATCAAGTACATTAATTACCTGCAGTCTCTCCTGTACCCTGAGGAGGTTGAGGCCAAGAACAGTCCTGGGAAAGTTTCCTCCACAATGGCGACCACCAACCGCCATCCTGACCCCATTTTTAGAATCATTTGATTCACGTGTTTTCAAAGAGAAACAAATAGTGGGATCTCTCAGAGCACCATGAAAAAGCTTTTCTTTAATGTCACTCTGTGTGAGCAAGGTTATAATTCAAAGGTTAACTTCTGTCGAATATTTCTTGCCAGGGTTTCACATGTATTAAATGCTGTCTTATGTAGATTGAGAAGATGCTTCTCAAACTTTGTGATTTCTTGAGGGGAGTAGGAATCCTTAGGATTCTCTGTAGCTCTCAATTTGCCCTTCTCACACATTTGGCCAGCCTCACAAAAGCAGTGAGAATAACTAACGACTCTTTAATGTTGTCATGCAATTTACAGGTGCTTCATGCTAAGCAAGCACCATGAATTCCTTGATTTGTCAAAGTTTTGTGGGTTTTATTTTCAGGGGTTGACAAGAAATCTGGACCTTATCCAAGTCATGAGAGAAAGTGTCCCAGGGCTAAAGCAAAAGTAATAACAAAGTCTGTTGGCATTTGAAATTATTTCATAGTCATCTTGTTCCCCCTAGCAGAGACTGCCTCAGGCAGCTTAGAGCAGGGAGCAAGAGGGGCAGGCTGTGGAATCCACCTGCCTCAGCTGCAGGTGGATTGGTTCTTCTGCAGGAGATTAGGAATAAGAGCCACCACCTGATTTGTTTATCATGAGTATTAACATATCTGACACATAATGAGTATTCATGACTATCCTTCTTATTTTTATAATTGTGGTCATCTTGACCTCATTCTGACCGCCATTCCCTGGACTCTTTAGGCTGGAAAATGCAGAGCTTATAGTCACTAAGCTCTGCCAGGCTTATACTCACTCCTGGAAAGCACATCCACAACCCATATCTTGCAGTCCACCTGTCTGCATAATGTCTCTAGCTCTTTCTTCTGGCTTAATTTCCAAGTTTCATCTGTCAGTAAACCCAGCCAGGATTTCCTATACACAGCCACACTCACCTCCCTGTGAAGTCTTCCTACCCCAGACATTACTTCTTCCATTGTTTTTAAAACACATTTTCTTGAAGTTCCTAGCCTCTAAGTTAGTATCCTTCCTATAATTCTCCTCTTCAGTGGATCTTAAGTTATTGAAGGAATATAGTCCTTTAAATTCCTAGCATTCAGGAGCTACTTCGGATTAGGAAGGTGTCAATAGGCATTTGGGGTTATTTTCCTAGTCCAGTCCTGTTAGCTGTGTCTGGGTCACTGTTAACAGTCTCCTCCCTGGCCTCTGGACTCTGTTCTTAACTGGCTCCATCCTCAGGCTACTTGCTCTTTCTAAAAACACTTCACACAACTTTACTGTTTAAGCCCCTTGACACTTCCTTTTCACTGCGTTGTTCACATGTATCTGCTTGGTTTTCTAAATTCCCGTTAATCTCAACCCTACTGAAATAGCCACACCCTGATTTTCCCATTATATCCCACCTCCCACCTCAAAAGAAAATCAGTCTTGCAAATGCATTCTTCCCTCTTAGCTCATGCTTCCTATGGACATTGAGATAGTGTCCTGTTTACCCCTTCATTGAAATCCCACCTATTTTATTCCAGAATTGTTCTCTTACTGCCAGGGACTTGGTTGGTCTTTCTTGTGCTTTAACTTTGGGCAACCCTTAACATGGCCTTTAGGTATGTAGTCATTCCAGACTACAAAGCTGCACTTCCCAAGGACAGTCCTCAGATTTAGGTTGTAAGTTACAGAAAATCCCACCCAAAAGTATTATCAATAAGGTGAAATATATTGGTTATGTAACTGAGCTCCTAGCTGTAGGGCTGCCTGCAGGCAGGGCTCAGTACTATCACCAAGAAATTGTTTTCTTTAGGTTTATCCTCTTGTCTTTCTGTATAATATCTCAGTGTCCCCCAAAGTTTGTTAGGACCCTTTCTCCCCAATACTTCCTCCCAGTCCCTTCAAAGCAAAAGATGGGGAAGAATCCCTGCCCCCCCAGCCCCACCCAAAGGTCCCCTCTGCACATGCTCAATACACTCACTTGGCCCACAGCATTCCTACTGGCTAGAATCCAGGGCAACCTGCCTGGCAACCTGCCTGGCAACCAGGAGTCAGTTAGGCTGAGGCCCAGAGCTCCAACTGTCAGAAGGGGTTGAGGCTGCAGAGGAGGCAGGAGTTTGGGACTATGAGTAAGTCCCTTTGAGATCAGGCCTGCAGACTTGGGCAGGAACAGACTCTAACAGGACTCTGGTCACCTCTGGACAGGTCTGGACGGGCATGGTCCTGGGGTCTCAGCTAGGCCTGGGGCCAGAGGTAGTCTATTGGGTAACTGGATTAGGAAGGGAGTCTGTGGCTTGGGGTAGGTATCAGTCTGCCATCAGGATTTGTCAAAGGAAATATGATCTTACTGGGGAGGAGGAAGGAGGAAAAACCTAACAGAGTAAGCTACTTCTGTGCCAGGTGCTTTCCACCTAGTATCTCCTGAGCGGTAAGTGAAGTGCAGAGACGTGAGCACATAGCCAGCAGGCAACAGGGAATTGAAAGCCAGGCCTCTCTAAAAGTCACAGCTCTTTTGATCTCTATTTCCTGACTTGTGGTTCCCTAAGCAGGTGACTCAGAGGATACCCTGAGTATCTATGGAAGACAGTGGGGTGAACAGGGTAAACTAATTGCCAACGCAGTCACATTCTGGGGCACTAACTGTCCCCAGAGCGGTGTGTAACCCTGGAGCTGAGCCCGGCCCTGGCCAGGTGCCCTTGCTGGGCTGTGGGCCGCAGCCCAGGTACGGGTGGCGCTTGTTTTCAGGCGTCTCTCTGAAGGCCATGGAGTCGTCCGCAGAGCCCGGGAAGCCGTTACCCAAATACTGCAGTGTGGCCACAACCATGAAGGTCCCTGCCTGGACGGGCGCTGCTGCTCCCTGGGACCTCTCCTTCACCTGCCCTTTCGGCCTCCAAGTGCCCTGGCTCACCAGCCACAACCCCTTCACCAGGTAGGTATTGGTTTCTGCTCCTCTGGAGGAAGTGGGACGCACCTTCTTTTCTCCTCTGTTCTTGCAGATGAGATGGTGTACTATGAGGGAGAAAACTTGCTTCCTGGGAAGGCTGAGGGGGTTACTTGCTTGGGTTATTATATTATTCTAACCTGAACTGAACTCAAGCCTGGACCTGGTTTTTGTCCCACCTTAGCAGAGTGGCAAATGCCAGAGCTGGGTGTGACAACAGGCAGGCATCACCAGTAATAATTTCACCATCAGCTATGAGACTTTCCCTGGTACCACCTGAGAAATGAGGGTTTCTACAACCAAAGCTATGGAAATTCTCTGTATGCTCAAGTTTTCTCAGTTAGCCTGACTTTTCTGGATAGCTTCAGTCTGCTGCCTAGAGTATGACAACAAAAGGGGAAAGGAAACCCATCCTATAAGCACACATGCCTTGTGGGGTTCTAGGGCTTTGTGTCTGTGCTGTTCGGTTCAGTCTGCCCAGCTAGGGGCTTGCAATTAGCCTCTCGACTCACCAATGAGGACCAGGTCATTTAAAACCAGAGTCAAGCACCCCTGTGCTCAGGTTTGCCCACACAGGAAGCAGTTTCTGCAGAAATCCAAAACCTGATTCAACCCCCTGGCATGGCCCTGCCCACAAATCCTCCTAGAACTAGAATTCCCTGGTTTGTCCCACAGACGTTTAGTCAGCTGCCCTGTGCTTCCCCTACTCCCCTACTTGAAAACTTCCTGCTCCCTGCTCCACAGTGCCAAACCTCCTTACGGTTAAACTCCTTTGGCATTACCGTCCAAGCCTCCATGCCTCATCCTGGAATCCCACATACCACCTTAGGATTGACCCTCCTTGTGCACTTTCGTGGTCTGCTAGCTAGTCTCAGCTGCAGTGTCAAAAAGCTTGGCTCTATCAATGCCATCATGATGACCTTGAAAGAATTTCCAGTTTTCAAGTGAGGGTTCCCTGCAGTGTCTTCTCCTTCCGTCCCTCTGACAGTTTCCCTTGTCTTACTGGAAGCCATAGATCACCACTCTTCACTTGGGGTTGGCTCCACATACCCTGGATATCATACACACGCTGTGGTGCCAATAAACTGAAATTGGATTCTTGGTATTTGAGGGGCCTGGCTTTGATTCTTGGTGTTCTGGGGCCTGGTCTTTAATTGCATTTGTTCTTCCCCAGGTACACTTACCACCCATGTTTCCACATTGCTGACCCGGCATGGCAGGGTCCCAGCTGGCTGGGAAGAGCAGGCAATGCTGCGGGCACATGGGTCCTGGCAAGAAGGGAGGCAGATGGCCTTTACTACCGGGCTCAGATAAAGTCTGCTCCAGAGGTGAGTCCCCAGTTCCCCACATAGCCCCAGCCCACACCTGTCTGGATGTGCTTCAGCTCTGTGGTCTAGCAGTTCAGTTTCTTGGGCAAGCATTTTTTAGACAAGAGCTCGCAGGGTGCAAAAGTGAAAGTGTAGTGTACAGTGAGTGTAGTGGTTTGCTCGGGCTGTGTAACATCACTGAGTGGTTTAAACAACAACAAAAAAATGTGTTGTCTCAGTTGTGGGGACTGCAGCTCCAGCTGTTGAAGTCTGTGAGGGATAACCTGTTCTGTGTGCCCTTCCTAGCTTCTGGTGGTTTGCTGGCAACCTTTGGTATTCACTGGCTGAGAAGAGCACCAGCCTGATCGTTGCCTCATCCTCACAGAGAATTTTCCCTTTGTGAGCATCTATATTCAAGTTCCCCTCTTTTAAGGACATGATCAGGGTTGTGGCCATGCTGCAGTATTTGGGTAAAGACTTCCCAAGCTTGCTGACCTGTCCTCCCTCAAGTTGTCCCACTGGTCGTCAGCAGTGTTGTCCTTCAGACAATGACAGGAGGAGGTTTCTTGCTCCCTCCCTTGCCTGGCCTTTGGAGGGAGCATCTGGAAACAGCGCCACTGCTGCTGGGTTAGGGACCCACACATCTCAGCCGTATTCAGTATGGCCTCGTGGAAATGTTACCGGGCAGGGAGCGGGGCACCTCTGAACGTCCAAACCTGCCTGCTCTAAATAGGTTCTGCCATCTGCCGCATAAAGACAAAACATAAAAGACTTTAATGAAAAGGAACTTTAATACAGTGAGTATACAACACAGAAGACAAAGAATGTAATTTCTAAATCAAACACCTGAAGGTACACATCCCCTCGTGGGTAAAAGTCCCCAAAAGGGATTGGCCCAAAGCAAGGCCTGAAAGCCCACCGTAAGGCTAACGCACCTTCTGGCTGAGACCCACAGAAAAGGATCAGAAATGGCCAGACAAGTCTGGGAGGAAAAGAGCAAAATCAAAATGAACATAAACACTGCCATAGTCAATCTATCCCCGGGAAGTCTCACCCACATCTGTTTTAACCAGTCCAGGGCCAAGAAACAAGCACGGATTCTTCATCACATGCTTGTTGCTCTATGTGGCTTCCTCAGGTCTCCTTCTGGCTCTCTGTCTTATTTCCATCCTCCTCAGATTCCTTCTCTTTCTTTTTCTCTTCTCAGTTCCACCCTACCTCTGGGTGGAACAGGGAACCTGGAACTTCCCCTTTTCCTAGGGACCACCCAGTTACAGGAACTCTATCTGCAATGACCCTACTCCCTGATGAGGTGACATTCTGAGGTACTAGGTTTCAGACTTCAACATGTGAATTGAGGGGAGGTGAAGGGGGAGACAGTCAATATACAACTGTGAAGAAAATGTACAGTGAACGTATTTTGTTTGTGAAGGTTAATTGTGTTGAGTTATGGGCTCCAGCCTGAGGGAAAGAGGAACATATCATATCTGCCTGTATGTACTCCTATGCATGGGGACACCAGAGACATCGTCCCCACACACAGGGCCTGAGCCTAGTGGCTGCTTGATTCTCTGGGACTTTTCTCTTCAGTCAGACTTTGAGAGTGTGAATCCATGTTGGGAAAGACTAGTGTGAAATATGAATTATAGAATTTCTAATATAGTCATTTTGTCATTTTCACATACCTAAGCTATGAATTCAAATAAAACATGAGCAGAGTTTGGCTCTAGTATAAGTTCTGTGTAGTGATTTGATAAAAGTCATTTGTAACCAGACTTTCTCTTTAAAATCACACTGAGTACTCAAAACAGCTGTTAACTTTTCAAGAGCTTAACTAATTCTCCAGGGCTTGCTTTGATGCTGTTCATTTAGCCAACCCTTCCTGCAGTGGCAGAGCTCAGGGCTGCCCTAACCCTAAGGGCCATGCCCAGCTGGTGTAGGCCTGAGGATGGACCCTGGCTGTCTTGGACACAGAAACAACACTTGGGAGCACAGGGAGGAGGAGGAGGGGTACACTAGGGAAGGACAGAGGACCCAGGCTTCTCCTGGGAATTGCAGCCAAAACTATAGACAGCAGAAAACAAAGGAAGAGAATGGAAGGGAAAGACAGAGAGTGATAAACAAGAGTTGCCTTTGGCAAGAAGAGGTCTCAAGCATCCATCCCACAGCCTGCTTGTCCCTGCTATAACCAGCTCTGAGTGCCCATCCCTCTCTGGATTCCCTCAACACTTGTAAAGAAGACTTTGGGCCTGATTCTGGGCTGTCGTGGGGAACCATGGGGCCCCCTGTTGTACTTCTTAATGTCAGGTCTTGTCCTGTGTCTTTTCTCTCCCACAGCTGGAGAGGCAGGGGGCCCTGCTGGTGGAATTTGAGGTTCCCCTTTTCACAGGCCCAAATCTGCCAGCCCAGCGACAAGGTGTGGTCTTAGAAGATGATGTCATTCAGTTCTCACCACCCATGGAATCCTCACTCCAGCCTGGGGACAAGGTGCTGGCATCCTGGGAATCAGAACAACAGCGATATGGCCCTGGCACTGTGCTCTTGGGCTTGAAGGGGAGAGACCCCCAGAGAGGTAAGGGAAGCTGTTCTTACCACTCAGTCCTTGGAAGGAGCCGACTGGAGATCAGGAGGAGAAAGAAGAAACAGTTTAGGGACCTTGGAGGCATTAAAACCATCCTTACCCCTCACTAGCAGCTTAATCCTAGGGGTGGCAACAGATATGCAAATCATATATTTAGGATTACTAGTTTTCACCAGAGCAAATAGTCTAAAACCACAGTCTGTGTTGGTTAGCTGACGCGTAGGGGTTAGCCTGGGGTCACACCAGTACTCGTGACCTGTCCTCCATCAAGTTGTCCTGGCCAGTCATCAACACTGTTGTACTTCAGACACTGGCTTGAGGAGGCTTCTCCCTCCCTCTGTCGCCCTCACCCCTGTCCTCAACTCCCTCACCTTCCACCCCAAGAGGCATTTTGCTTTTGACAAGGAAACTGAGCCGGAAGCAGCTGCAGGACGCAGCCTGGGGGACTGTTCTGGGCAGGCTCTCCAGGGGAGGGTGCCCTGGGAGGCAGGGGCTCGGCTGAGGCTGAGGCTGTGGCTTTAGGACTCGGAGGTGAGGCATTTGTTACAAAATGTTGCCCTTTTCTGTGATGCAGCAGAAGAAGAAATTACTGTTCACTTCTGGAATGGCAAGACCGCTACAGTGCCTGTAGGTGGGGTCCGGTGGGTACCCCCAGCTGTCTGGAAGAAGGCCGTGGAGAGGCTATACCTGCCTTTCACTAGGGAGCGCCTGGGGCCCCTCCTCTGGGCCCCTTGTTGCTCTCTGCTGGGGCCCATCGCTGGATGTGTCACTAGTGGGTTTCCTCTGGGCGCTTCGTTCTTGTGTCCTCCCTGCCAACCCCATGCCTGCTGCCAGCTGCTGTGTGGGAGCTGCCTCTGCTGCTACCCCTACCCTTTGGCTGGACCCACCTGGTGGCCGCTAACCAGGACCTCAGGGGTCACAGTCCGAGAACATCCAGAAGAGGAGCTGAAGCCCACAGGCCAGCTTTTGCCGTTAGAGGGTCCGAAGAATGAAGAAGTAGCAGTGCGAGCTCCCATGACTGTTTCTTCCTCCTCCTCCTCCTCCTCCTCTTCTGAAGAAGAGAATTTGGAGAATGATCTGGTGATGGGACTCCCCCAGAGACTGAGGGTGAACAGCACAGTCAACACAGACCCCATCCTGCCTGAGACGTCTCCGAGACAGGGAGGCCTTTGTCAGCCCGTGTGGAGGTACTGGAAGAGAAGTGGGCCCGAGCCACAGCCAGGGAAGCCAGGTAAACCTCCCGCCAAGCAGGGCCCTCAAGGATGATGCTGCGCTGTCAGGCTTAGACCCCGCCTCTTAAGAACCCTCTTGTGTGGGTCCCTCAGCCTCTCCACCTTTGTCCTTTCAGTCACAGGTAGTGGTTTACTGTTGGATCCTAACCTGACCTGACCACCCGGAGCCTGACTGTTGGCTCTCTGCCCTTGCTCATGACCGAGACAGAACTCCATCTGTGGATGGATTTCTCTTATAGTACTCCTCCTTTTTTAGTTTATTGTCTTATTCCTCAGGAAGTCACATCTATTATTTTTGTTTTGTTGCTTTCAAGCTCTCAACACTTGTTTTTCCTTCATCTTACTATCTTCTTTGTAGTCAGTGTGATTTACAAGCTTCTTCCACTGGTGGCAATTGGTTAATTTGCTTTCTTGACTAGCTGTTTTGGAAAGGATGTCTCACCCTCCCACCCTGTCCCAGCAGCATAATGGCCAGGAATGATAAACTATTTCTCTTTAGAAACAGAATGGTACCAGGAGTTTACAGATAAAATTGAGAAACTCAGTGGTCTTCCTCTAGTACTTAGAAGTCAAGTCTAATCCCATCAAAACGGTAGCATAGGGAGCCCAACTCATTGAATTTTGGGTTTAGGAACAAGATTTTGCAACGTCTGGAAAGAAGAGAAGGACAACAAACAGCGAGCACAGACTGCAGTGGTGGGGAGCACCCAGGAGCTGGTGCTGGAAGGAACCAACATGCAGCCACTACAGACGCTGCCCCAGGAAGCGGCGCACCCAGCACTGAGTCAAGGCACAGCCACACGTCAGAGGGGCCCCAACTCCCCTTAGACTAAAACCCCTGAGGATCTAAGGAAAGCAGGATGTCTGGGAACGGGCTTCTTAGGGGCATGGCTACAGTTCTGACAACTTGGGGTCACATCCATTTTGAAACTGGTAAGAATCCATGGTTCCTCTTCCTAGAAAAATGTTGCTTCCCACAATTCTGCAATTTTCAGAAGGCTCAAATAACCCCAAATTCATCCTAACCCTCTTGGGGTATAAGGCTCCCTGTTTAAACGAACCTCTGTGCTATGGCGCAAGGCAGGGATTCACTTTCCTAGGCCCTCTGTCCATGGAAGTCTGTTCTTCACTAGGAATGCTAATGTTGCTCCACTGAAACTTCAAGTTCACTGTATAAAATGTTGCATTTTTCCTGAGGAAAGAGATGTTCAAAACAAGACCAGCTGCAGGGCAACTAAGCAGAGATGCAGCAATACTGTTGGTGTGGGGCTTAAGGAACTTCAGGACACGTCAGTGACTTTAACTCAGCGCCTTTTCATCCCTTAAAATTACAGCCAGCCTACAACTCTTGTTTTTCTCTCATAGGAAGTTAAAGTGTGATGGTAAATACCTGAAGGGGAGTTACAAGGTGACTGAGGAGGCCTTCAACTGCAGGAGGTAGAGTTAGCCCAGGTCTGATAGTCAATAAGCAGCAGTATCTTTACCCCATTAAAATTTCCTCAAAAATGAAGGCAGGAAGACCCTGTCATGAGGGTACAGACTGTGGCAGCACCCAGGACTCCCTGCCCTGGGCCTGGTGAGATCTGCTGATAGGTCCCTCTTCCTCCGAAGTTACAGGGTGTGGCTGGTCTGCTGGGCAAATGGGTCTACAGACTTTCTGCCTCCTTTTCACAGTCTACTGTAGTACATGAATGGCATTTTGTTTCACTCTTAATACCAATAAAAAGGAATTCTCTTCATTTTCAAGTCTCTCCTTTTATTATCAATAATTAACCTTTATTTGGGAAACAAGCAGCAAAAACTGATCAGACAGCATTATTAAATAATTACATAATTACTGGAGGGTAGGGGACTGCTATCCTTTCAGGTTAAAATAGGCACTGAAGGAGACTAGCTCCAGTTCCCAGGAAGGCTGGCTGACAACAATCAGCACTAAAAGCAGGATGAATGTGTAAGTTAACAATAGAATCATATGGTGGCTTTATTCTTCTTGCTACTTAAAAAAAGTGATGCAACCACTGTGATGTCAACATCACACTGGGAAGACCAAGTCCACACTCTGTCCCGAATCAACTGCTACCACGTGAGTCTTCTTGGTTAAGTCCTTTCCGCTCACAGTGACCGAGTAGGTACCCGGATATACTTCTATGTAGAGGTCCTTGGAGATAGGCTCAGCCTGAGAAGAAAAGCAAATATAAGCAGCTCAGAGAGAGATATCTCAGTGGCCCCAGGGCACCTCCACCAGGCCATCTGTGCGTGCCAGGGGTGTAACGGAGCAAAGCACTAAGGTGAGAGATGGAGAGTCTGCTTTCAAGGCCCCACTTGGTCACATAACAGGACTGTTATTTTAGGTAAGTCTCAGCGTCTCCTTATGCTTGTTTGCTCATTTCTAAGAGTGCTACAGAAAACTCTCAAAGCATGCATATGAAAAGGCATTTGTAACTGTTCAAGTGCCATAGAAGATGGGGAAGGGGAGGTCATGAACACTAGAGTAAAAGATTAGAATGAGAAGGAAAGGCTAATGTCCACTATTTTGTGGATCAAAAGTAGACAGGAACAGGAATAAAGAGGAATAATTATGCTGTGGAATAATGAGACTGATTCTTTTTTAATTATGCTTTTTTAAGTTCATTATTAAGAAAATATAACATTTCTCCTAAAGCTGAGATACTAGGAAGACACTCCATTTTGTCATGTAGTCAGGCAGCTGGAGGATTAGTTTTCCTCCAGGGCAAAAACACTGGAAGCGGAAGTTAATGCAAAGACGTACGTTTAGAGCTGAGCTGCACGCAAACCACTTGCCAAGGAAGAATGGCTGGGGTGTAGGATGTGGTAGTGTGTGCAGAGGGCTCCTGGTAAGTGCCAGTAGGGCAAAGTCACAAGCCCGAAGAGTCTGAAAGAGGTAAAGCTCCCATCCCACAGCAGAGATACCACCACTACTACAAGCGCCCGAGGAGCCACAGGCGGGAGAGTCACTTCTACCCTCACACCCAAGAAGAAGGAAACAAACTAGTGGCCAGTAAATTGCTTCAGGAGGAATAAATGATAATACACCTACATACTACATACGGACAGGTTTGAAGCCATTTTTGCCCAAAGCTTCATTATGTTATATACTTTGTGCCCAATTACTGAAAAATTAGAGAAAGTAAAGCTGTATCCAGATTGCAGAAAGCCAGGGATGCTTCCTGTGTCTGCAGAAAAGGAGACACTGGTGACGAGACAGTGTTGTGATTCCAGTGTTGTGAACATCAGGAAATTAGCATTATCAAAATCCAGCAAACAGGAGACATATAAGTTTAACTTACATTTGTACTAGAAGCGAATGTTCCTAGTTGCCACTAACTAGTATATCCTGATTGGGGGTAGTAAGTAGCACAGTATATACACACAAAACTCATCGTAGCAACAGACTACATAGATCTTGTCCTTCAGAATTCCAGCCCTTCCAAGTCTCAAAAGATTCACTAGGTTCATGAGTCAAGTATCCTAAAAATTAAAAACCCATTGCTATGTTTAACAGAGAAACATTTGCAAAATATGGGGACAGATCCCTTCAAATGTTTTGGAACCTGATCTAACCAAATGTGTATGTTTAAGAATTTCAGCAATGGTTTTCACTTTGTAAGCAAAAGGGTCAGGCCCCTCCTGCTGCTTGAACAGATGGTGGAATTCCGGTAGGACACAGTGCCAGCCCAGCTGAGCTGGAGGAACTGAGATATGAATTCCTAACATTCTTTCCAACCACAACTATGAGTTCAGGCACAAAGAATATCCCTGAGGCTTCAACTGAAAGAAGGATACCAAGAAAACATAATTTTACACTGAACCAAAATGTTGGTTACACTCTTCCCAAAGGGTAAGAACATCTCAACTAACATGACTACAGATCCAATACCAACAGCCTGATAATAACCGGTCAACCGGTTCATAGAACTACAATGACGGTGAAGGGCCCTTCACTACAAGCTCAGTACTCACAGGCTTGGATGCCTCCAGAGCATACTCTGATATTTGATAGTTGCTTCCAACTCCAAGGGATGTGTCTTTTCTCTGAAGAGACAATTAGAAACAGTATTAGTGGCCACACTTTGTAAAGAGACATTCTTCTACATTATTAGGAACTAGTAATTGTTCTGTCAGGTTTTTTTTCTATGCTGTCTAAGTATTGTGGTTCTCAGTGAATTCTGTCAGGTATTTTTAGTCAGAGGTTTACCATGATCACATTTTATCCTTACATGGGTTTTGGCCTCAGACAGACCTGATGGATCCTACCTTTGCTATCTGCTGAGAGGCCTAGAAGGAGTTCTCTGAGCTAGATTTCCTAGTCAATTACAAGGTCTCAATAAGCAGAATCTTTGGCATCCCCAGAATGTCATGTGGTAAACCAGGTAAATTTGTAGTAAGAGGTCTGTAAATATCTTTAGGAAAAGTATTTTTGTTAAGCGAAAACTTCCTTGTACTTCTGTATTTCTAATTACTGAAGACATTATAGTTATCATTACCTTAAAGTTTATGATTCTTTTCTACCCTAGAAGTAGAAGAGCACATTTAAAGTTCTTTTTTTTTTTTTTTTTTTAAGCCAATCTAAGAATCCCATGGCCCAGGACAGGTTCAACAAAGATCCTACAGTGATACAGTGACACTGATCTTATATTTTGAACAAATTCTAGTGTCACGTTCACTGCTGTGAGTTCTGGAGGCTGAGAGTTGACACAATTCTATTGAGAGCACCATAACAGTGAGGTAGGCAGGCATCCCATGGTACAAATCCACCAGGGCCTCCTGAACATAGGGTCCCTGTCCCTATTCTTGGGAGGCTGAGGGGACAGGACAGATGAGGGTACACACCTGATCATTCCCTACGTCAGGGCACCAGTGCAGCTCTGACTTCCTTCTGTGATAACGTGAGACGTGAGTTGCCCCTCCTTCCTCTGGCACAGATGAATAATATTTCTAGAGAAGAAATGTGAAAGATGTTGATAACCAAATCTGATCAAATTTTCAAAAAACTGTTATGTGGGTCAAGTACATTAAGGAGGGAGAGCAGACAGCAAAAGAAATTACTTGCCCTGTTGACAACCCTCTGAAGTCATATAACAAATCAGAGCCTATGAAACACAGCTGTAGTGAAGGAAACTGCATCTGGCATTCCTCTGCTGCCATCTGCTGCCTCTGTAGGGCAAGAATTCTGGCCAACCGAAGCTGGGAAGGACCAGTCTCTGCTAAGCTAAAAAATATTCACATCTCAGCCTCAATGCCAAATACATATGCCCTTTCATCTCTTCTCTGACAAGTTCTAATAAATAGGTCCATGTTTACTGTCTTAAGTCAGTCAGGACATGGGAAGAAAGGGGTGCACCTCACTGAGATTAAAAAATTCAATAGGCGGGCTCTCCCTCGTAGCACAACAGGTTAAAGCATTGCATCATGAAGCTCTCCGCAGCCACTGCAGCACGAATTCAATCCCCAGGCACGAAGCTGACCTACATGGCATGGCAGACCTCTCCTGACCCACCCGCTGCTCCCCTTAGCAGTGTACTTTGTCAATCTGCCTGTTCTGCTCCCCACTCTGTCTCTGGTGAATCCTTTTACCTACCATCCCTCTGGCCTGAACCCCAGTTCTATAAGCATAAATAAATAATTTTTTAAAAAAAAATTCAATATGAAAGGTAACGGAGCACCTAAAGCTATGCAGCACACTACTAGGAGGAGTATAAGGTCTCTAATTTAAGAAGAATAATACAAAGGCCCAGGAAACAGGTGCATTTTTCTTGTTTGCGTTTATCCTCCCCCTAGAAGTTAACCTTAGACGTGCAGACGTGCCCTGATTATGACTAATTTGAGGCCATCACAATCTGCTGGTTTTGAACATGTGTAGAGAGATATCCAAGGCATGTGAGCAAAAGAGTAAGAGGATGGGAAATGTCTCAGGTCATGGATCTAATAATCTATTTTAGAAGCTGCTGCAAAACTGTGAAAGCAAACTCAGAATACTGCTCTTATTTCTATCTTGAAAAAAGCCATGGGGGTTTGTAAATCTCCATTCCAGAAAGAGACATGAATTGAAGCATGAACTGAAAACCAAAATGAAGAATACCAATTTGCTAAGCCTCAAACCAAAAACAAATATTATTCCTTTTACTGAACCACGGACCAAAGTGTTTAAGTTATGGATTTTTCTAAAACCATTTAACAGAATAAGAACATAAAAACAATGTGAACCTTATCTCATTGGTTGGAATGCTGTTCTTGGTGTTAGGATTTTATAAAGATGTAGACTTTAACATGTACACTTGCAAAGAGGGACAGAACAAGGTATTTTCTTTCTTCTTTGTAGAGCAGCCCCCTTATGGGAATAACAAAATGTTAAGGTTGGAAGAGACCAGTCTTCCATGCAGCTGATTTCCTTGAATATTGGCTGGCCTGCCTTCACATTCTCTCAAAGTACTTAGAGATGACTTTCGTGTATGGTTTTGGCTATAAGAAGAGGGTCTTTTAGAACTTCGGTGCACCCATTTCAGTGAAACTTTCACTTGTCTCTCATGCTACAGATGATGACAACTTTCTAGTGTCTCATCTCTCAACAGGAACCAGTACTGTAAAGGCTGGAAAAGAATTTGGAAGTGTTCATTTTCTAACGGGGAAGATAAGGCTAAGAGAGGCTGAACTGTCAGGTAAGACTAACTTAGTAAGTGACAGAATCTGGGTCTGTTTCCCAGGAAGCTGCTCCTGCCAGTAAGCCACACTACCTCCAATGAGGGTGCTGCTTCTGTTTCACTTAACCACTTTTGTTGCCAGCAAGAGACATGGACCCTTGGTACAGACTTAAAAACTGTGTTGCCAGGGGCTTGAAACAATTTATAATGTACTGTCATTTTCATTAGGATGTGAAAACAGAAGTTTAGTTCCAGTTTAAAGTAAACCCTCTTGTTTTTTTTTTAACTTTAGTTCCTTTAAAATTTTAAGGAAAATAAATTTTAGTGAAGAAAGGAGAAAAAAAATAAAATAAAATTTTAAGGAAAACTCCTATTTTTCCCAGTAGACTGAAAAAATGGTAAAGGCAAAATCCCTTTCTGGCTTGTTCACAGCTGTATAGTTAATAGTACCTACAGAGTTAGACATTCAATAAAGATTTGTTGAATGAATTCTAACTTGGATTTATCACCTGGTTTAAATTTTTTACTGATTACAACTTGCCCAGGAGGTGCAATCACTAGGGAAGGATGTGTGACGGTTTCTCAAACTGCTAAAAATGGAGCTTCCATATAACCTAGCAATCCCAAGCCTAGGTATCATACCCAAAGGACACAAAAACAACAATTCAAAAGGACACATGCACCCCTATGTTAATTGCTGCCCTATTTACAATAGGGAAGATGTGGTTGCACTCAAATGCCCCAGAAAGATGACTGGATCAAGAAGAAATGGTACATGTATACAATGGAATATTACTTAGCAATCAAAAAGATAAATTCATGCCATTTGTGGCAACGTGAATAGAACTGGAAAGGATCATGTTTAGTGAAATAAGCCAGAAAGAAAAAAGAAAAATACCAGATGGTTTCACTCATAGTAGGAGTGCAAGGGATCAGGAAAAAATATATAAATATATAGAAAGAGTAATTGTAATAAAGTAAAAAAGAACATCAACTAACATATATAAACCACAGACATTCTATGGAGGAGGAGAGAGGAAGGAACAAGATCAAAAAACTGGGGTGGGAAGAGCACATGAGACTATGGTGATGGCACATGGGTGAAGTGGTGGTGGGAAGTCCATGGGGATTACAACAGAGATGAAAAAATGGACAAAATGAGAAATAATGTAAAAATGTATTTATAAAATTATTTGAAAATGAATATTAGTAAGTTGCTATGTGGCCATGTTATATCACATCTTTGTGTTTCAAAATTGGGCTCAGTAAATTCAATATTAAACCTGATAAATTACTAAGAGCAAAAAAAAAAAAAACTTGCCCAGGAGGTAGGGTGGGATAAAGCAATCTTCAGATTCTCCTTAAATTCCAGAAAGATCCACTTTCTGATCCATCAGCAGGCAGAGCAAGGGCATGGCTTTAGTTTACATCAACTTACCCCACACTGACTTGAGGTATAGTCCATGAATTCAGCCATTATTCTGAAGGAAGCACTGAGAGTTGGGTATCTTTCTTCTCTCTGTTTGAACAAACGGCAAGTCACAGGTGAGCGCTCTAAAATATACAGACATATCATTTCACCAGAAAACAGTTTTGCTAGCTATCTCTGTACCTGTTAACAATTTTTTTTTTAAAAAAAAAGTAACCAAGACCCAGCACTAGCGAGATCCTAAAGCTACCAGATTGGAATCTGTCAAATGTCAAGATTCTTCAAAGGACTTTTCCTTTCACTGTCCTGTCACTTTACAGCTTCTCCCAAAGACCAGATCCCTCAGACTGTACGGTGCGTGCTCGACCCTAACCTAACGGGCCTCTGCGGAGGGGATGAATGGGCTGGTCCCCAAGCACAAGGGTCCTCACCTCTCCTGGAAAAAGGTGCTGGGGATAAGTTGCGGGACGTCTTTCTTCGTAGGAAGGTCTCCCCCCGGAAAAGGCACCCACGCCGCCCACGGGCAGCTCCAGCGAACGCCAGTCCACCGCTCTCCTCTTGGCCCGCTCCAGTACTTCTTGACCCAGCCTGGCCGAGCGCTGCAGGGAACGCCGGTCCATTCCGTTCAGCGCCGCTATTGCCAAATAGTTCTCCATGGCTCCCTGCGCGGGCACAGACACACCCACACCAGCGGCTCGCCCGCAGCCCAGACCAGCTCCCATTCCGGGTCGGAACCCAGACCAAAACCGCCCCAGCGACCGCCGCCCCCCGGGTCCGTCTCCAGCGCGCTCTCCAGCGGACTCCGACGCAGGAGCCCCATGATTTGGTGCGCCACGACCCCTACTTCCGTTTTCGACTCCCCCCCCCCTTCTCTCCTAGCCCCTCACCCGCCCGGCTTCTCAAGGCGCATGCGCTCAGTGTCGCCTCGGAAGCGGGAGAGGAGGTGGGCCTGGAGCACTCCACACCCGCGCAGCAGGCTGTTGGCGATAGGGTAGGCCTGGGGGGCGGGGGCATTATGGGGCGGGGTCTGGTTGGGACACGCCCCCTACGTCCGCGCTTCTGCCTCTGCGCGCGAGTTTCTTGGTTAACAGCCGAGCGCCGGGGCCTGAGAGGGGCGGGCCCTGAGGTGGGCGGGGCTCGCAGCGGAGACCGGCAACCCGCGCTGTAAGAAGTCTCGCGGCCTGAGGCCAACCTTCACACGACGTCTACTGCGCCTGAGGAGGCAAAGTTAAAGTCCAGAGCTGCGGTCTCTGTAGGGCTAAGAAATTAGGACGGTGGGGGAGAGAGGCGGGGAATAAGACGAGAGCGTCCATAAGCCTCTTTCAGGCTGATCTGTATTTTGGGGTAGAGCTGCTCTAAAACTTTTCGTTTGAAGAGATTTGGTGATAGACCGAACAGGTGACTTTACCTGGCCAGAGGCTGTAGGGCGTATGGTGAGCTGTAAGTAGGGAGTACGGCCTCTGTTGGAAGGCGGGTGTTCCTGGCCACGGGCTGAGAGGCAGCCAAGTTACGTGTGGGCCCCTCATAATCCGCGCACAGCTGCCTCCCCACCTCGCCCCTGGGAGCCGTCGCTGCGGGAGTTAGCCTACCTTTCAAGACTGGTCGCGTGTGCTTAAATAGTCCACTCTGCTTCTTTCTGATAGCAATGTTAATAGCTTAAGGCTTTACCGCCGGTCAGTGACTCCACTGCAAAGCTCTGCGTGCGGCACTGCATTGATGCTCAGAAGGGACTGCTGTAAGGGACACTGCTGAATGGGGTCGCTTTCAGGGACACAAGAAATCCTTAATGCTTGGCTAGTCTCAACAGAAGGTTTGATTAGCAACTCTGAGCTACCAGGTGTGTATTAGAGTGCTGCCACAACGTCCTTTTTTTCTTCTTCTTCTCATTTTCTGCTTTCATCTTACTGAAGTTATGGAAATTTTTTTTGTTGTAGGAATATTTGAAAATTTTCCCTTTAATAAGTTTATCAAGTGCCTTTAGAACATAGAGGTTAGGAGCACAAGGTTCCGACATCCAGTCCAGATAGCTGGATTAGAATTGTAGTTTCCCCGGGTTTTCCGCTGCATTATTCTAGGCAAACATCACTTAAATTCTTGAGCATCCCTGTTCCTATTTCTGTACTGGGGAAGACTAATCATACCAACCTCCTCAGATTCGAGCATCTTGAGGGTAGAAGCCATATATCGATCTTGTTTACTGAAGTTAAAGTGCAACAAGTATTTTATCTGTCACAGAAGGGACTAAAAATTGATGCAGCATTATTTACAGTAGCTAGGACATGAGAGAAACCTAAATACGCATTAATAGGAGACTGGGTCAAGAAGATGTGGTATACTAACACTTTGGAATTCTGTTCCGCCATAGAGGTCAATTACTGCAAAATGGAGGGAGTCTGAGTGAATTATGCCTAATAAAGCAAGTCAGAATGACAAAAAAATTGGATACTTACATAATGGGAAATTTGACAAAGTAAAATACAAAACCTAGCAGACATTAATAGAAGCAGTAAGAGCTAAGGATAAGAGGGGAGGGGAGGTAGAGAGGGATGCAGTTATAAGGGAATGTGTTGGGTAGAAAAATAAAAAATAAAATAGATGGTGAGTGCATGAATTGAGTGGCTGTAAAGATTTTTATTTTTTTCCTATAAAATACTTAGTACAAAATAAGTGCTTCATAGATTTAGCTAGCATTATGTGTCAGGCATCATCCTAGGAGTTGTAGAGAACGAAAGTATATCTCACTAAAGGAAATTAAGAAAGAGGAAATGATGGACGTAAAACCTGTAACGTCATGAACAAAATATTAAGGTTTTGTTTACAAAGTGTTTGCCATAAGATTAATACAAGTTAAATGCTATGAAGCTTAGAGGAAGGAGAAATATTGTTCACTTGGGATGGTGGGGGTTTTGTAAAGAAGGAAACATTTGAGTTATGCCTTAAAAGATAGCCTAGGGAGGACCCTCCCTGGTGGCGCAATGGGTTAGGACGCAGCACTGCAAGCTAGCCACAGCTACCTCAGTGCGAGTTCAAACCCCTACCTCGGAGGTGACCCACATGGTGTGGCAGACCTCTCCTGACCCACCAAACCCCCACCTCGGAGGTGATCCACATGGTGTGGCAGACCTTTCCTGACCCACCGCTGCTCCCCTCAGCAGTATACCTAGTCATTCTGCCTGCTCTGCTCCCCACTCTGTCTCTGGTGAAGTCCCTCACTGCCCCTGTACCTCTGGCCTGCACTACAGTTCTATATGAATAAACAAATCTTTAAAAAAAAAAAAAAAGATAGCCTAGGGATTAATGCATGTTAAGGGTAGTTAAAAGCCCTGTTAACTGCTGTTATGATGAGTTTGGTTAGGGCTAAGACAGAATTTGCTTTTTTATATTATTATTATTTATAGATGTTAAGCTCCTGACCCCATAGCTTTATCTGCATAACCATGAGCAAGTTACTTAACTATGCTAATTGCAGCTTCATAATCTATGAAATGGGACTAATAATACAATATTCCTCATAGGTTTGTTGTATCAAATAAGTTAATATATGAAAATCTTTTCAAATAGTACTTGGCAAGTGGCAAATAAGTAGTATTATTGGGCAGGGAGAGGGATACCCCTGAACCCCCAAACCTGCCTACTCTAAATGGGTTCTGCCATCCACCGTATCAAGACAAAACATATAAGACCTTTAATGGAAAGGAACTTTAATGCAATAGTGTGAAATACAGAAAAGACAGAGAATATAGTTTCTAAATCAAACACCCAAAGTTACCCATCCCCTCGTGGGTAAAAGCCCACCCTAAAGGGATTGGCCCAAAGCAAGGCCTCAGAGCCTGCCACAAATCTAAAGCCCTTTCCAGCAGGGACCAATAGAAAAGGGTCAGAAAATGGCCAGACAAGTCTGGGAGGAAGTGAGCAAAATCAGAATCAAGATAAATGCTGCCATAGTCATTCTCCCCACAGGTCTCTCACCCACATCTGTTTCCACCAGTACAGGGCCAAGAAACAAGAGCCGCTTCTTCACATGTCTCTCTGCTCTGGTGGCTCCTTTAGTTCTTCTGCTCTCTATCCTGATTCATCCTCAGTCTCCTCTCTAGATTCTCTCCTCTTCTCAGCTCCACCCTCCTTTTGGTGGAGCAGGGAACCTGGAACATCCCCTTTTCTTGGGGACCACCCTGTTATCATAACCAGACTCCAGCCTAGGCTCCCAGTATGTTCTGACTTACACCATTCACAGCCACAACACAACTCACCATACTCAGCTCACCTCAGGATTTAAATCCTAAATCCCTCTCCATGTTGTTCCAGTTGAAGTATTACTCTCTTTTGTTAGTGTTTTAGAATCTGTTATTTTCTGGGACAACTTCTATTTGCATGGCTTTTTGTTTTACTTAACCAAACCTGATTTAAGTTATATGTAGTATGGTTCATTTTCTTCTAACAGCTTATGAACTCCTTGAAGGTGAAAACTATTCTTTATTTGTCCCTAAATATCCAGAGCCTGTTAAGTGTAGTAGGTGCTCAGAATTGAATTTATTGATTTAATTTTTAATTTAAATAGACTCCTTGTGAATCAGATTAAGTTGGCTCAGTTGTCATTAATTTTCTCAGACTTTAGAAAAATATGGAAAAGGTAATGAAACAGAAACCTTAAGACTGGTATGTGATTGAATATTTGTATTTATATGTATAAATATATATTTTTTAATTTTAAGGTATACAAATCATAGATTGAGCGTATCCTTGTCTTTTTCTAAGACTGAATGGGAACAATGAGGGAACATGACCTACCATCAGTGCCTTCATAGATTAAAGCAACCTGATGCAGGTACCTCTGAAAGTCGCCTGTGAAACCAGGAAATGAGACCGTAAACGGAGGGAGAGCAAATAATCAGGAAAGTACTTAGAAGCTGTCGATGTATATCTTTCATAATCTCTCTCTTCACAAGGGTAAATTCATTACAGATAGGTTATTTGTCTAAGATTATATGTTTTAGGCATTAAGTGCATTGGAGGAATTCTTTATTGCTTGAGACTTGAGAAAAAGAGTTTTGTTTGGAACTTTTTGAGCAGGAAAAAAAGATCTATTGAAGAGCAATGCAAATTCTTTTTCTTTATGTAAAAGGGGCAAAAAAAGAGTTAAAAAACTCAGATGGGAAAGTGGGTATCATGATGGAGTTAGACAATGATTTATACTGTTCATACCAGAGAACATATAAATCACTTTGTTTGACAGGTGGTATTTTTATTTCTTCAGCAGACTTAGGGAGCTTTAGAATCATTACAGCTTTGTAAAGTAGTATTATGGTTTGACTCATTAGATCATTCATTTTGCCTGGTTACATCAACTCGTTGGGTTATCTGGGAATGAAACTCATCATCAAAATTGTCATCTTGATTATATAGGTTAAAGAATATGAATCAAACTTCTCAGGAATCATTTTCACAACTTGTTAAAAATTGCCTGGAATTTAAGAAAAACTGTAGCAGAGCTGAAATGATAAGGGAAAACCTATATAATTTTAAAGACTGTCATAGATAAAAAAAAAAAGTAGTTATTTTGGAAGATATAAATAACAGTTGGAATCCCAGGTAGAGTTTTGTGTGTGTGTGTTTTAAAGATTTATTTTTATGCATACAGAACTGGGATACAAGCCAGAGGTCCAGGGCCAGTGAGAGGATTCACCAGCGACATAGTGGGAGCAGGACAGGCAGATCAACGAAGTACACTGCTGAGGGGAGTAGCAGGTGGGCCAGGAGAGGTCTGCCACTCCATGTGAATCACCTCTGGGGCTGGGGATTGAACTTGCACTGAGGCTGCAGCCAGCTTGCAATGCTGCATTCTAACCCCTTACACCA